CTCCTCTATACCGGATGCCTGCCTTCCTCGGGAGGTGTTCCAGGCACGTCCCACCAGGAGGAGGCCCAGGACACGCTGGAGGGACTATGTCTCTCGGCTGGCCTGGGAACGTCTTGGGCTCCCCCTGGAGGAGCTGGAAGAGGTGTCTGGGGAGAGGGACGTCTGGGCGTCTCTGCTGAGTCTGCTGCCCCCGCGACCTGGTCCCGGATAAAGCGGAAGACGACGAGTACGAGTACGAGTTATTAAACATTAAAGAAACACATTCAAAAGCAATTCATCATTTAGTCATTTTATGAGCTAAATTTTGAACGGTATAAATCCACAGGCTTTCATGTAATTTGAGTAACTGATTGAGGCCACCAACCCAAGGTGGAAAAGTGATCTGTTCTATAGCACAAAATCGCAATGAAGAAATATGATTGGAATCATTACAGTCCACTGCAACAGGATAATCTCAATCATTTCTGCATATCTTCCTTTTTTTTCTTATTGATTCTTTATTTAAATTTTCTTGTAGTTTTCCCAACATATGCAAGCCCATAAGGGCAACAAATCACATATCACAAGTGATAACAGGTCTGGTAGTTAACAGACCACTCTTCCACCTTGGGGTGGTGACCTCAATAAGTTACTCAAACAACGTGAGGCTTCTTGGATTTATATCTTTACAGACTTTGGGTATAAAGAGAATAAATGATGAATTACTTTAGAATATTTTTTTGAAAGATTATTCCCCAAACTCTATACTCAACTCTATACCCATACTTTGTACATGTTTTACTTTAATATTTCTACTTATGAGATAATGTTAATAGATTTTTTTCACATAGATATATATACATTTTTGATGATTGGATGTGACTGGTCAGACAAACCACTTTTCTATTTAGGAGAGTATTCAATCAAACCCAAATGTTGCATATTAAACCTTTGCCAGTTTAACAGTGTATCGGGAGGTTTCCTTCTTTAAGGTAAAACTTTAACAACCCTGGAACTTCAGGAATATGATAGGTTTCCTGATAATTTTGTTTCTTTGTTCGTCTTTGTTTGTTTAGCCTGTCACAAGGCACAGCTGTTTCTAGCATCCGTTCTGGAATTGTCCCCGTCCGACACACGATGCTCCCGTTCTGTCCTCTCAGCCTGCATTCTGTCCTCATTTCAGACCTAGCAATTTCCTTTCTGCTTGAATTGGTGGAGTTTTTGAGGTGAATATGTGACTATATGTCTGTTCTAAATTATTTTTAACTGTGTCAGTGGTTCTTGTTATTTTCAGCTTTGTTCTTGGTTGCTACAACGGCAGGCATCTGTCTGCCTGTCAGTCATGTTTGTTGCCCTGTGTAACCTCATCCATGTGGACAGAAATAAACAGACTTTGGGCAAGCCACATACAGGATTTGCATGTTTGCATGAGTGTCAAAATCTTAAAATAACAAAAATGCCTTCAAAATGGATGGAAAATGCTTTGAAAATGTTCATATTTGCTAATGTCACTGAGGGCTTTGTGTTTTTCTGAGCAGCGCCACTGCAATTTGACCTTAAAACTAGGTCATAGCATAATAATCTACCCCAACCAGAATCAAAGACAAGTAAGTATGGTTTAGATCACAGATGTCCCAACTACAATTCTGAAACAACATCTGTGATATCTGTTATCTAAGAAGAAAACATCACAGCTTATGGCTGTGCTAAACAGGTGGCTCATTCATTTATTTCAACAGATTAAAAACATTGCTCCAAAACCACAAGAGAGACAAAATGACACACAACATATGCCTGTTGCATTTATTGTTGCTGTGCATTAATTTTAAACATTCTCTCACACAACAGCATGTCTGCTTTCTCTGACATTGTTCATTCAGACATGCACATCTCAGCATGAGATCCTCCTTACAAGATGAGTTCTGAGAAGCAGGAATCTAGTCAAGCGGGGCTCCTATGAGAACACAACGGACGCAGATCACCATGAAGACAACAAATAGTTTTCAAATTGCAGTTGATGTTAAAAGGGTATCAGGAATGTCAGATGATACTGCTATATATAGCACTTTTTTGGACAAACCAAGCTAAAGCAGTAACTTTAATCTGTTGGTCAAATGTAGCATGGATTTGAGCAGCACGTAGATCGTCACTCACAGAAACACCCAAAGGACATAGACTTCTTAGGAGTTGAGAAGAATTGTACTTAATCTCATGCAGGAAATTCCATTATAAAACAAAGACCTTTCACTAATTATTTTTCATAGAAGACAACAATAGCTTCGGGTAATTTTTCAGCATCTTTGCCAGTTGAGTCATGCTTTCTTTTAATTCCCAGATGAGCCTTTTTAGAACTAAATCTGTTGCCATCACAGAGAAAATTTCAAATTTTCTTCCAACTACCATACAATCAAATAGCAGATTTAAATATGGCTGTAGGCTGTGATATATATGACTTTTGACTTTTTCTGTCCCAGTGAGGTTCTTTATGTAACACCAGTTTCTTAATTTAAAAGAAAGTATTGTCTTAAAACTTCATTGCCAACCAGACTTTTCATGTTATTTACCTCTCAATTTTGGATCTAATACTGCTAGGTATTTTTACTTTCTATTACACTTAGAAGTAGGGATGGGCAGTCATCGTATCTTTTACTTTCATCGGGAAACTTTTTTTAGCGTTGTTAGGGAAGGTACCAGGCTGCTGTGGTTGTTGGTCCTCAACCCACAAATGTATTTTCTCTACAAATGTGGAACCATATAAAGGGGAATAAACTTTCACTTTGCTTAACTGAAATTTATTATAACTGGATTGAAAAAAAAAACAATTAAATAATTTTTTTAAATGTTTTTTTTTTCTTTTTCTGTATGTAACTCTCAGATAACATTGTTGTGAGGTGGTACCATTTAAATAATCTGAGCTAAATTAATTGCCAGCACGGTTAATTCTAGCTTTTCTTTTCCTGAATGATGCATCCCTCTCATTTAAAGAACCCCATAAAGGGAGCAGAGTTTAAAATGCTCTTTTTCATCTAACATTGATTTATGATCTGTTTATAAGGGTACATCTTACGTTTCCCTTTCAGTTTTGGTTCTTTTTGGTGTGGTCAAAAGCTCAAGAACAAACACACTGCAGTCTCCTAGGATTGTAGGTTATATGGCCTGTTTAATGTGGCTCATGGAAATCTTGATTTCTCGCATTCTCTGACTTATGAAAGAGAGAAGTTTCAGTTTGAATACAGACAAGCCACATAAATAATAACATAAGAGAAAGATTTTACTGCTCAAATTTATTGAGGGAAGCGAGAAAATTATATGTCAACCAATAAATCGTTATGGTTCATAGTTCTTTCCCATTTTTTTCTGTATTTTGACAAAATGATTGGTGCATAGTGAAATAAAAATCTAAAAATAAACTTTATGCAGCTTTATCTATCTAAGCTAAAACAAGGACAACATTTCACAATTCGTGGAACTGCGAAACATTGTGGTACTGCCAGAGAATCGATCTTAGTGAAAAAAAATTAAAACATATACAAGGTATAACAATGAAATAATATAAATAATTTCAGATAATTTTTTAAATGCTTACGTCTTATTGCACACTGAGTAAAAACATACAAACTTGCAAACCCCTTCTGAACTTAAAGACTACAATCTTCTGACAGTCTTAAATAAACTGAACCAGGTATAGAAAAGTGGATCTGTGGGTGAAAAAAAGTACATGTGGACCCTATTAGAACAGGGTAAACTACAGTTGAACTGCATTATTGCATGTGTAAATAATAATTGTGTATAAACACCACTGACAGTGAGTCCTGTTTCTGATTGGCCTGTTTCACACATGCATAACGTCTCCACAAGTTTTTGGTAACTGTGTTGGCATATTGCACGTTAGATTATATGACCCCTCTGGGATTTATCTACTTTTGTTTTGTTTTGTTTTATTTTTTTCTTATAGAAGAATATTGGAACTCTTTCTTTCTGCATTTTTGAAGATTTTTTTTTCGTTTCTCTTTGTACCATGCCAGAAAAATTCTAATCAATGACTTGCTAAAGCATTGATGTCACATAATACATGTTTAACAGGGGGTATTTGTTTCAGCTTGAGTGATTTAAAGAGTTGTCAGTTTTAACACCAAGGAAAAATCGATTTTGTCTACAGTGCGCAACACATTTAGTCCCATTTTACAGAACACCAAATTAAATATTTCCTATATGTTAATTCTAATTCTGACATGTTATATCTGCTATTCGTCTCTCCGGTATTTTGTGGTTTTTGGTGGGATTTTTTTTTGGTTGGGATATTTTCTTTTTTTTTCGGTTGTCTTGCATTTGACTTCTGTGCTCCTCTTCGTTCGTCCATTTAAACAAAGAGCAAAGGCCCTTGCAAAGGTATTCATTGCACTTTAACTTATGAAGACGTTTAAAGCAGGGTTAGAATATAAAACATTATCCCAATCTTTGGAAATATGACAAACCACTGTTCAGTCCATCATCTGAAAATGGAAAGAGTATGGAACAATTGCAACTTAGCAAGATATAATTCTACACCTAAACGGGCAGGGCAAGGAGAGTATTAATCAGAGAAGCAGTCGAGATGCCCATGGTAACTCTGGAGGAGCTGCAGAGATTCACAGCTCAGGTGAAAAATCTGTTTACAGGACAACTATTAGTTGTGTCCTCCACAAATATGGCCTGAAGTTCCATTTGCAGTTGGCCACAAACCAAGAGAGGCAAAATGCAAGTTCATACCACATTTATCAGTTTTTTAATTGAAAAAGACGCATGTATAATTTTCCTTTAATTTCAAAAGTATAGACTATGTGTTGGTCTATACTGCCATCCCATAAAATACACTGAAGTTGTAAGGTGGAAAATATAAAAAAGTTGGGTGCAGCGCTGATGGTGTAGGGGTTAAGCGCGCGACCATATACGGAGGCTACAGTCCTCGAACCGGCACGTCCTGGGTTCAAGTCCCAGACCCAGCGACATTTGCCAAATGTCTACCCCTCTTTCCTGTCTGCCTACTGTCAAAAAATAAAAATAAAGGCCACTTGTGCTGAAAAAATATCTTGAAAATGTAAAAAATTTCAAGGGGTTTGTATACAAGACACAGGTTTTTGTTGGACATATCTTTTCAGATAGATAATAATGTGATAACAGGCATATTTCTTTAAAGACTGTACATTTAGACTGTACATTTAGGAAAAAATTAAATGACTACTATTATCAACTTGCAACAAAAGAAAAACATTTCTGTAACCTTGGTACACATTTGCACATTATCTCAGGTGGGATTTCCCGCTTTCACTTTGAAGTCCAGGGGAATTATTACTTGAAAGTGAAATGTCATCAGGTGACAGCCAGGTGCCATGAGTAAGCAGAGAGCCAGATATCATTTCCTCTCCAATCAGTACCTTAAATTCCTTCCGTCTTGTACACAAGTCGTGTGGATGTTACCTTGCTGCATTTGAGCCTTGAATAACAATGAATTCAGATGTATTTTGTTTTTCATGATATTTTAAATGAAAGACCTTCCCCTTGAATTACCTCATAGAATTGACACTTTTACAAGGCTAAAATGAACTCACAGGAGGATATCAGCCTTTGTATAAGAGAAGATTTGACTGGTCAATTCTAACACATGAACATGTTTTGATCTAGCTGTATGTTTAAAATTGTTGTCCTGCTGGAAGGTTCACCTCTGCCCTAGTTTCCAGTTATATGCAGCCTTAACAGTCTTTCATGTATTATTTAGCTCCATTCATCTAGATATCAGCTAGGACCAGCTTATCTGGCCCTGATAAAAACATATTAATAGCATGATGCTACAACTCCCAGCACTATAGTTTTCTGTTACACATAGTGTTGTGCATGTAGACCAAAAAGTTCACATTTAGTCTTCTCTAAACAGAATATCTGACCTTTTACACGTCCCCTTTATGGATTGTGCTAACTGTTCACAGGAGTTACAGGAGTATTCAAGAGTGACTTTCTTCTTCCTATTCCTCCACAAACACCAGAGTACTACTTTATTTTAGTGAATTGTCTTTTTGAACTGCAAGACGTTTGCAGGATCCAACATTTAACAAGTCCCTAGCTAAAATTCACCATTCACCACAGGATGCTGCATTCTCCTCAGTTACACAGTGTGCACTCCTCAAATTTTACACCTTCCACCTCAGAATGCAACATTACAGCTTGAGCTTGTCCAGCTGCCAGGCATAGAAAGTTTCAAGCAAGAAATCGTTTCTAACAAAATCTCTTGTGGCACAGCTGTTGGTAACCCTGCTTTGAGTCATTTGTGGAAATCTTTTTGACCATTTTGGATCGAGCCCTGGGTGCTGTTGTCTCTCTTTAGATCACCTTGCAGGTTTTTTTTTTTTTTTTTTTTTGACAGATTTAGGTTTAGAGATTGAAATGGCCATACATTTCAGATAACTCTTTGAAAGAGCCTATGATTAACCATTTTCATTTTAATGGTGGGGGCCACCAGACTTTGTAAGAACTCCTGGTATTACAGAATCTATGTTGCCATGCATTCCAACAAGTTTTCCAGTGCTCTTTGAAGAGAAACAGGCCCACAGCATCACAGATCCTCCATGAAATTCAAAAGGTGCCATACAGTACTTTTCCATATATTCATCCTCACCTGACCAAAGCACAATGTCCAGTAATAGTCTAAGATTAGCAAACTCCATTTTGTAGCTTTTGTGATGGTAGGAAAAGATAGATTTCTTTCTTTTCTTTACTTTTCTTTTTTGGTGTCACACATAAGCAATCACCTGGCATGTAGATAGCATCTAATTGTCTTGGTGGGTCACCAAGTCTCTATAATGATGCCATAAAGGTGCCACTCTTTGCTGTGGTTCTCAAACAATAAGCTTAACACCCTGCTTCCTGTAACAAGATCCTTGTCCAGCCTTTTTTACAGTGGTCTAAAGGAACGGGACTCTGTATTGTGTTATATTTATACCCCAGGAAAGCAGAAAATCACCAGTTACAAAAGAAATATCCTCAAGAATAATTAAAAATGGCTCGAGGTACATTTATATTAAAGATTTTATTTGGGAGACCAATACCTGCAATAAAAAACTATTATTTCTTAACATGGGATTTTTTTCTGCTGAATAAATTAACTCATAATAATAAGTTGGACTTTTAATTTTGCATTACTAGATAATTCTACTGTAATTATTAAAGATTTATGTATATTAAGGTCCTTTTACACATCTTTAGGGTGCTTACAAATTTGTCCATATTTGTATGTGCTGTGTGTATAGTCCCAGTCATTATTCACCATGAAACAGGATGGGTCTGCAAGGTTAAATAGCTGTCTTCTGTTTCAACATTTACTTGTTGGTGGGTTTGACAGTCATCGCATGGATTTCTGAAGCTGTAAACTCAGGCTTTATGCTCAAGTCCACATTCACTTAAAGACTTACTATCTTGCTTAACTTCTCAGCTAGCACATTGCAATCTCTCTGAACAGCATAGTGCAGTGCAGCAGAAGTATATATAAGTCTATAAATGGCATAATTTCACTATTAGGTGATTTTGATTTCTTGTAAAACATCCGGCTTCCCAGCATAAAGCTCTCAGACCCACCCATCCTGGACTGAAACCCATCTGTCTTTGCAGAACATTTTAATCCACTTAGTTACACTCTTGTTGACTTTAAAATAATATTCATTGCAGAAAATGTGCATCCTGATGTAAAAAGTTTGTTTTGTCTTGAGTGCCTGATTTAATACTTAATGCGTTTTATTTATTCAAACAGTCAGCAGTGGTTTTTATATTTTGTGGTGACAGGGAAAAACATGACAAATATTTGCCATTTGTGTTCAATGTGTTTACAATAGTTCAATAAATCTCTGCACTGCTTTGCACATAGCATATCATGTTTACCTTTGTTTCCGCTAGATTGCCCGACAACACACACACACACACACACACACACACACTCACAAATGCACAAATAGGAATCTGTCAAACATGGAAGCTCTGTAAAGAGATGACTCAACAGCACATTTGCCCAGGATTTGTGTCATTGAGACAGAAAGGTCTAAACTATGCCAAGCAGCTTTCAAATCTTCATATATATGTTCTCAAATAGGAAGTCCTCAATAAACCCTTACTGGGCTAACACAGTTACAATGTTGACAATGAGGATAATCCTTTGATCTTAATGCTGCCAAAGATGAAGGTAAGACTGAGCTCGGGGCAAGAGATGGTAGGACTGCTGGAAAAGCAGGAGCTGCAAAAACTTTTGCAGGTTATGTTGTGGGAAGATAGCAAACCCAGTTTGTTTATCCACCAGACAGTGAAGGGTTATGATAGTATCTGTATGCTAACATATCATGTAAGCGGAGCAGCATTACCTCATTTTATTTCTCAAAAGAGCCGCAGGTACAGAAGAACAGAAAAGCAATTGTTTTGAGTCACAGAGCGCCCTCAAGGCCTAAGATACCTGCTTAATAGCTCTGCACAGACAAAGAGAAGCAGGCGTCAGGTGGCAGGTGATAAAAGGAGCTAATGTTTGGCAAAACCTTCCCGTCAGCACTATTTCACTCATATCTAGGTCTATTGAGAAGCACTGGAGATTGCTTCCTCTTTTTTACATCTCTTGATGGGTGAGGTACAAGGGACAGTTCACAGTAGAAAGCTTCAGGTTAGTGTGAGACAAGATCTGCCTGATCTTCAGCTGTGGAAAGTCAACAATGACCAAACAGCTGCCGACATCAACAAACGAAGGGAATTAAAGAAGCCGGCTTGCCCTGAGCCTGGGAACTATGTTATTAGTATTTCAGTGAGAAAAGTTTTCACTCATAACTGCAATCACTCATCTTAATGAGGTGTACATTTATTTCACTGTGAATGATCTATGAAAAACGCAGGGTATAAGGCAAACAGAAATTGACAGCTAGGAGTGGGATTACAGCATACCGCTGAGACCTTTGCTTTGAATGAGGAAAATATGCAAAATTACTTTCTGTTGACAACAACTTAGTTTTGTGTCTGCCGAATCTGAATTTCCACTGACAGAGTAGACCTATGGGTGCATTTCAAAATGAGTTTTCAGCAGTGGTTAAACACAGACCATACAGATTTCAAGACAAACTACTGTCCAGTTTTAAGATAAAATTAAAACGCTATATGGTCTTGGTTATTGTTTTTTCTTTACAAATTTAAATATGAAAAGAATAGTGCGCATCTGTATTCTGCCCCACGAGTTGATACTTTGTAGAACCACCTTTTGCTGCAGTCACAATTGCAAGTCTTTTATAATATGTCTGCCAGCTTTGCACATCTAGAAAGTGAATTATTTGTGCATTCCTTAGAGTTAAATAACTCAAGCTCAGTCAGACAAGATGAAGTCCATCTCTGAGCATAAATTTTCAATTACGTTCAGATTCTTAAAATTATTTAGGTCTTGACTTTGATTAGGCCTACCTAATATCACTGTCATACTACTGCGTATGAGCCCTTCGTTTCAGTGGTGTTGGAAGTAGTGTTGTAGTCAAAAAAACATATCGTTTCGAGAACGAGTGAAGACCAAAATTTGAGTGGGGGTTGAGATCAAGACCAAGACCAAACCAATGCAGGATCAATTTCATGACTATTGCTGTTATCATAATAATGTAGTTGTTGTTGAATTTTCAGTCAAAGGCTTTCTTGCAAGTGCAGCCTGGAGTTTCACACTTAAAAAAAGAATGTTGTAGCTATGGTCTTGACTTGTCTTGATAGAAAAACCAGAGTAAAAAATATAGTCAACACCTAAGCAAAACAACTTTGAAAATGCAGTCTGAAGACCAGTTTTGTGATCAAGACCATTTTTAAGTACCACAACAGTAGCTGGAAGGTCAAAGGAAAAGGCCAAAGGAAAATAAGCCTCCCGCATCACCTTTCTACCCATTTAACACTAGAACATAGGCAAGTTGATCACCAGATAGGCCAGCTTCTTACAGGTTTTCTTCCAGGACTGCCCTGT